TGCAGGCGAAACGTCAGGAGAGAATGCCTCTAGACAATGGCCATACAGCCCGAAAAAACCTACAGCAACCCAGTGATTCTGGCCATGAAAGCCTTCGACAATATGTTGTTCATTTTTAACAGGTGCCTTGGGTTTGCTTTTCTGCTTGCTTTCTGCCTTTTTCTTCGTGTCACACTAGAAGTCAGATGCTTTCTGTACAAAGTTCTTATTTTGAACAGTATTATATGTATATTTGCATTAGATGCACTTAATCAACTAAGATAGATTCAATACTATTATGACAATTATAACAACCTGTATAGAAGTTCACTATACTGTTCATAGCCAAGGTAACAATTAAAGTCTTCCAGCATCTTACGCAGGTCGCCTACTGATATGTAGCCTTCTCTGGTTTTATCCTGTAGCAAAAAGGCCTTGTGGAATTCCTGGGAACACTCACGGTATTTCTCTCTAAAAGAAAGATTTTCAGATTAGTTTTCCTGTTAAAGTACAATTAATACATAAGTACACATTAATATAATTAATTAGTACACAAAACTGGCTACTTGTGGCCCTATTAGCCAAATGCAGACTATTAAGGATGTTGTCTTATTGGGGAGTCAACAAAGTTTCAGATTCTAGTGGCAATGGAATTGCGTCTCATTAGCAGTCCACATTGCAGCAATGGATCTTAAGGTGTGAAGACATGATTTACCCTAAATACTTGTATATAACTCAACTTCATATATATGTCAAGGGCAGATTTGGGGGTCAAAATTATGGCTTCTAGCATCACCCATGGATAAGTCGAGGGTAATTTCTTGGAGAGGGTGGTCAACCACTCTGACAACCACCACCATTTTCCCATCCATGCATTCTAAAAGGCCAGAACTAGCATCATTGTGGACAGATCAGAAAGGTCTGTGTTTCTTTTAAGGTCCACCAGAATAGTTTAAGCTTCTGCCTTTAGCCATCCCACTCTGAGAAAGGGATAGTTCTTATCATATAAGAGTTAAGGTATAGTACTTATAATGACTTGTGGATAAATCAACCCACGATTTTGAGGACAATTTTTGCCTAAAATTCTTTGAGTTATATGCAAGTATACCTAGTAGTTCATGAATGCGCTAGTTTGGGCGATCATGATCGTAATCCTACAATGGCCTATATTAGGATGTTATTATTGAATTTGGTGCAGAGCATGGTAATAGGACTGGGCCGTGGGGGGAGGCTAATTTAACTAATTTACGACACCATAAAAATCTTCAGCAGTGTGCAAAAGAATGAGGAAGTACTCCATCAGTGTCACAAGTGGATGGTGAAGCGACAGCTCCCCCAGTGGCCAGAATTCGAGCATACCGTCATGATGCTGGAATGCTAGATAGCCTCTGTGTGCCTGTCTATATATCTTGTGTGTCTATGTCATTGAATGTTTGCCATGTATATGTGCATTGTAATCCACCCTGGGTCCCCTGCAGGGTGAGAAGGGTGGAATATAAATATTGTAAATAAACAAACAGACAGACAGACAGACAGACAGACAGACAGATAGAGTGGTGAGTTGGTATAGCTATCAAATGGCAATTGTGGCTCTTCTTATTGCTCCCCAGTAGGTGTGTGCAAAACAGCACAGAGTCAGCTGCATTAAAATCACCACTGACCAAAAGGTCATGAGTTCGAAACCAGCCCAGGTTGGAGTAAATACCTGACCATTTGTCTAGCTTGCTGTCAACCTTTGCAGCCTGAAAGACAGTTGTATCTGTCAAGTAGGAAATTTAGGTACTGCTTTATGCGAGGAGGCTAATTTAACTAATTTACGATGCCATAAAAATCTCCAGCAGCGTGCAAAAGAATGAGGAAGTACTCCATCGGTATCATAAGTGGGCGGTGAAGCGACAGCTCCCCTAGTGGCTGGAATTCGAGGATAGCCTCATGAAGCTGGAATGTTAAATAGTCTCTGTGTGTCTGTCTATATATGTTGTGTGTCTGTGTCATTGAATGTTTACCATGTATATGTGCATTGTAATCCACCCTGAGTTCCCTGCAGAGTGAGAAGGGCACAATATAAATACTGTAAATAAATAGATAAATAAATACATAAATTTATTTATTTATTTAGGACTTTTATAACCCGGTCTTCTTGACCTCCGAAGAGGGACTCAGGCCGGTTCACAACAAAGATTCATATACAATAGTATAAAATATCACATCTCATAATCCACTAATACATAAAATACATTAAAATACAAACATATGGCTAAGTCATCAAAATGAAATCACAATTTATCACCATCCGTCTGTGTGGTCAAGAGTTATTGACTCACTCATCAAACGCTAAATTCCAAAGCCAAGTTTTCACCAGCTTTCTAAAAGTCAGGAGAGAAGGGGCCATTCTAATCTCCAGTGGAAGAGAGTTCCAGAACCGAGGGGCCACCACCGAAAAGGCCCTGTCCCTCATCCCCACCAGACACTATTGCGAGGGTGGTGGGACCGAGAGCAGGGCCCCTCCCGAAGATCTTAACAACCTTGATGGTTCATAGGGGAGAATCCGTTCGGACAGGTAAACTGGGCCGGAGTCATTTAGAGATTAATAAAGTGTTGAGTTGGTATAGCTGTCAAATGGCAGTTGTGGCTCTTCTTATTTCTCCCCAGTAGCTGTGGGAGCACAGAATCAGTTCTGTTTTCAGGTCCCATCCTCATTCTGTTTTTGGGAAGATTCTTCCCAAAACAGAAATGGAGCTCAGGATTCTGAATTCCGAATCCGAATGGTCTGCCCTCCTAATCTCCTGGAATCTTCCCAAAAACAGAATTTGGGGGGGGGGGGGCAAAATTTGAAACAAAAACAGAATGAAAACAGAATGGATTTGTACACCCCTACTCCCCATCACCTACAAAAGACTTCTCCTCCTCCTTCGAAAGGAGGGTGTCCTGTGTCGTCTATGGGAGATGTAAAACTCTGGTCCAATGCATGGGTTGTATAATGACAGAGGTATGGCAAAAGAATCCAAACTATTGATTATAAAGTTCCTGGTTTCCCTCAGCCTTGAATTTTGGGGGTGCCCTTAGACAAGCCACTGCTCTTCCAGTCTAATACCTCTACCTTGTAGTTTGATAAACTTTGCAATATTAAGAATTTCTAACACAATGCATAGAATTAAAAAAAAAGATGTACTATGTGTATCCTATTGTCATAATTTACTACTCCAGACAATTCTTGACAGTATCTTTAGTTCCTTAATAGTATAAAAATGCTGTACCGTGATGATGTGAACAGCAACCATTTGGAAACCCTTTCAGTTGTGTATTTATGCTATTACAATGACAAGAGCAGCGACAAAAAGCTATCTTCCATGTATACCTTCTGGGTGTTATTTTTTTTTAAAAAAACATGCAATCAAAACCTTTCTTCCCAGCTTTATTTTTAGGGGTGGGAAATTAGACATTCAGGCATTTCTTGGACTGGATAAATGGTTGCCAAGCAGTAATTATTCCAATCATGGCAGAAAAACAGAGCATCAAGTATATGTTTTAAACTATGGATCCAGCTAGACTGCCAAACACACACACACAGAGCATACAAAAAAAATTCTTCACTTGCAAATGTTTTGTACTTTCTAGAAGGGCTGGAGAATCGTTGCCCAAATGTGTCTAATTTGGGATATTTGTTCTTCTTCAGTAAAAACAAAAGGAAAAAATTACACAACTAGATTTCCCCCTTTGCTTCTTGAATATTAAGTTTCTGAGACCCGTTTGTCACTTGGACTGTGTCTAAACTGTTAACTAATAGCTAATGGACATGTTTCAGAAATAATTTCTGATGAAATTGAAAGTGCGGCATGTAAGAGCATTTATGTCCCTCAACATGAGAAGCCAGGGCTTTAGCTTGGATGATATACATGATACTGCATCATAGCAGAACGAAGAATCTACTATTTTAGATTACACAGTAACTCTCTCCTTTCATTTTGTTTTGTCATCCTCATTAAAATAAGCATTGATGGACACCCAATGACAAAAGAAACTGTTTATCCTTAGATACACAGAAGAGATTTCATTCTGAGAGCTGCAGTGAGACCTGTCAAACTTCAGTAGAATTTTTTACTTTGTATTTATATTGTGAAGCAACACATGCTGAATAACTTGAGGTCATTATGCAGTTGGCTTCCCTGGTGGGATCATTATCAATGTGGTTTGAAGGGGGAAGTACATCCATTGTTATGGCATCAACCCATGGATGATCTTGACTCACAATATGGCCAAGTCATACCCACATGGAGGAAAGGAGGACTTCTACTGGTGTTCAGTACAGTGTTCCCTCACTTATCGCGGGTGTTCTGTTCCAGGAACACCCACGATAAGTGAAAATCCGCAATGTAGAGGTTCCTGGCTGCTGCTGACGACTGAGGGAGGAGGGTGCCTGCCCGGCTGAGGCCTTCTTTACCCCTACTGAAGGTGGCCCTCGCCTATCCGACCCTGTCCCCTCCGCCTCCAGTGAAAGAGCAAGGCCCAGCTGCCCTCCACCTCCAGTTCCACCAAGGTCATCCCTTCCCTTCCCGGGGTAGAGCTCTGTCCCGCTTGCCCCAGATCCGGGCCTCTCCTCATCATTCCTCATATGGCATCAACCCATGGAGTGATCTAGACTCACAATATGGCCATAAGGAGAAAAAGTCACACCCACATGGAGGAAAGGAGGACTACTACTGGTGTTCAGTACAGTGTTCCCTCACTTATTGCGGGTGTTCTGTTCCAGGAACACCCACGATAAATGAAAATCCGCGATGTAGAGCTTCCTGGCTGCTGCTGCTGACAACTGAGGGAGGAGGGCGCCTGCCCGGCTGAGGCCTTCTTTACCCCTACTGAAGGTGGCCCTCGCCTATCCGACCCTGTCCCCTCCGCCTCCAGTGAAAGAGCAAGGCCCAGCTGCCCTCCACCTCCAGTTCCACCAAGGTCATCCCTTCCCTTCCCGGGGTAGAGCTCTGTCCCGCTTGCCCCAGATCCGGGCCTCTCCTCATCATTCCTCATATGGCATCAACCCATGGAGTGATCTAGACTCACAATATGGCCATGAGAAGAAAAAGTCACACCCACATGGAGGAAAGGAGGACTTCTACTGTTGTTCAGTACAGTGTTCCCTCACTTATTCCGGGGGTGTTCTGTTCCAGGAACACCCACGATAAGTGAAAATCCGCAATGTAGGGATTCCTGGCTGCTGTTGCTGCTGACAACTGAGGGAGGAGAGCGCCTGCCCAGTTGAGGCCTTCTTTACCCTTACCGACCCTGTTCCTGGCTGCTGCTGATGACTGAGGGAGGAGGGTGCCTGCCCGGCTGAGGCCTTCTTTACCCCTAGAGCAGAGCTCTGTCCCACTCGCCCCAGATTTGGGCCTCTCCTCATCATTCCTCATCAACCCATGGAGTGATCTAGACTCACAATATGGCCATGAGAAGAAAAAGTCACACCCACATGGAGGAAAGGAGGACTTCTACTGGTGTTCAGTACAGTGTTCCCTCACTTATCGCAGGTGTTCTGTTCCAGGAACACTCACGATAAGTGAAAATCCGCGATGTAGGGATTCCTGGCTGCTGCTGCTGACAACTGAGGGAGGAGGGCGCCTGCCCGGTTGAGGCCTTCTTTACCCCTACTGAAGGTGGCCCTTGCCTATCCGACCCTGTCCCCTCCGCCTCCAGTGAAAGAGCAAGGCCCAGCTGCCCTCCACCTCCAGTTCCACCAAGGTCATCCCTTCCGTTCCTGGGGCAGACCTCCATCCCACTTGCCCCAGATCTGGGCCTCTCCTCATCATTCCTCATATGGCATCAACCCATGGAGTGATTTAGACTCACAGTATGGCCATGAGAAGAAAAGGTCATACCCACATGGAGGAAAGGAGGACTTCTACTGGTGTTCAGTACAGTGTTCCCTCACTTATCACAGGTGTTCTGTTCCAGGAACACCCACGATAAGTGAAAATCCACGATGTAGGGATTCCTGGCTGCTGCTGCTGACAACTGAAGGAGGAGGGCTCCTGCCCGGCTGAGGCCTTCTTTACCCCTACTGAAGGTGGCCCTCGCCTATCCAACCCTGTCCCCTCCGCCTCCAGTGAAAGAGCAAGGCCCAGCTGCCCTCCACCTCCAGTTCCACCAAGGTCATCCCTTCCCTTCCCGGGGTAGAGCTCTGTCCCGCTTGCCCCAGATCCGGGCCTCTCCTCATCATTCCTCATATGGCATCAACCTATGGAGTGATCTAGACTCACAATATGGCCATGAGAAGAAAAAGTCACACCCACATGGAGGAAAGGAGGACTTCTACTGGTATTCAATACAGTGTTCCCTCACTTATCGCGGGTGTTCTGTTCCATGAACACTCACGATAAGTGAAAATCTGCGATGTAGGGATTCCTGGCTGCTGTTGCTGCTGACAACTGAGGGAGGAGAGCACCTGCCCGGCTGAAGCCTTCTTTACCCTTACCAAAGGTGGCCCTCGCCCACCCGACCCTGTCCCCTCCGCCTCCAGTGAAAGAGCAAGGCCCAGCTGCCCTCCACCTCCAGTTCCACCAAGGTCATCCCTTCCCCAGGCTTGCCCCAGATCCAGGCCTTTCCTCATACTTCCCTGCCTCCTTCTCTGGTTCCTTCTCGGCCTCCCTTGCTCACCAAGGGGCACTGTGCTGCTGCCAGGAAGGGCCTCATTGCTCCAGAGCACCAAACCCTCCTCCCTCAGTTGTCGTCAGCAGCAGCAACAGCAGCAGCACTCCAAGGAGTCACCAGAACAGGAAGGAGGTGGCGGCATGCTTTCCTCATTCTCGGTGGCGGCCTCCTCTCCTCCTCCTCTTTCCCTGATTCAACCCCCAATAATTTATATTTATTTTTTAAACCCTACGAAACAGTGAGTCCACGTAAAGTGAACCACGAAACAGCGAGGGAACACTGTACACTTGTAGAATCCAACTGCCTAGAAGCAATTTGCTTACCTGATTTTCTTTATAATCTCATTGATGTCAATGTGCTTTCGCTCCTGTTTTTTGTAATGATCCATAAACTGCAAATAGTTCTCTGTCAAAAGCTGCTTGTTGAAGCTGGAATCTGGAAGGGTGATATCTACACCCATTTTCTCCAGGAATTCTTGATGAGTAAGGTAGCCCTTTGCCTCCAGATCATACCTTTTAAAGACCCAAAGAAGACACATTTTCTGTCATTAGATATGAGCTTTGCAAGCTTGTTCTAGTAGATAACTTACTTGTGTGATTTCTCAGTCTGAAACTTCCATCAGAAGGATATGAAGAAAACCCATATTAGAAAACAAGTATTTCAAAACAAACTGGATTTTGTAAACAAGATCTATCAACAGTATCTGTTAGGGTGCATCTAACTGTTATCACTTATAAATTCCTAAATGGTTTGGGAACTGTCTACCTTCGTGACCGCATCTCCTTCCATAAACCTGCACAATCTCTTCGATCCTCGGGCGAGGCCCTCCTTTTGCTCCTTCCTCCATCACAAGCATGACTTGTGGGAATGAGGGAGAGAGCCTTCTCCGCTGTGGACCCCTGGCTGTGGAACTCACTACCTGGTGAGATTAGGCAAGCCCCCACCCTAGCAGCCTTCAAGAAAAAATTGAAAACTTGGCTCTTCCAATATGCCTTTGGAGAGTGACCATATACTTCTATCCTGTTGTTTCTCCCTTAATGTTGTCTTCACATTGCACTTCCCCCCACCTTTCTGAAGGCCCGTCTTCCTTGTTCTGTTCCCTTCGAGCTCCTTCCTTACAAATATACTTCTTTTAATTCTTATCTCATCCAGAGTTTTATTATTCTTATGTTTCACTGGGCCCGCCCTTTGTGTTTAATTTTTCACTTTGTTATTTTACACTGTTTTATTTTACTCTTATGTTTTACTTATTTTATTGTGATGTTATTTTTTGTTCTGTATTTATTTTGCTGTGAATGTATTATAAGGCTTGGCCTCATGTAAGCCGCAGCAAGTCCCCTTTGGGGAGATGGTGGCAGGGTATAAATAAAGATTATTATTATTATTATTATTATTATTATTATTATTATTATTATTATATTCTACACTGTAGTTTGACACTGAACTACCATGAACCCAGGATTTCATCACAACCAAGGTATTTCACCATTGTACTGTCCATTTTCTGGGCAGAGACCACTAGGGGGCGATAGAAAGAGAAGGATAGTTCATTTTACAGGGGTAGAAAGTGGGTTAAAGGAATAAAACTATTTTTCCCACTCAGGGAGCATAAATTTCCTCTGTTGCGCCACCTCCACTGGCTGCCAATTTGCTATCGGGTACAATTCAAAGTGCTGGCTTTTTGGCCTATAAAGCCCTAAATGGTTCTGGCCCAACTTACCTGTCCAAACACATCTCCCCTTATGAACCTTCAAGGACCTTAAGATCGTCTGGAGAGGCCCTGCTCTCGGTCCCAACATCATCACACAACTGGCAGGGGCGAGAGACAGGGACTTCTCAGTGGTGGCCCCTCGGCTCTGGAACACCCTCCCTAGAGATATTAGATTGGTCCCCTCCCTTTTAACATTCCGGAGGAAAGTCAAAACTTGACTTTTTGAGCAAGTGTTTGCAAGCACAGTGTGACTGACATAGAAATGGAATGATTAGATGATGTGATTGGCCAATGTTTTCAGTAAGGAGACGCTAATGATATATGTTTGTTTCAATGTTGCTATGGTTTTATAATATGTTAATGTTTTGATTGTATTTTATGGTCTTGGTACCAATCTGTGAACCGCCCCGAGTCGCCTGCGGGCTGAGAGGAATGGTATATAAATATAGTAAATAAATATAATGAGACATGCCGCATTATCACAGGGTGTCTGCGCCCTACACCACTGGAGAAATTACACTGCTTAGCCGGTATTGCACCACCTGACATCCGCCAGGAAGTAGCAGCCAATAGTGAAAGGACCAAGGCAGAGACATCTCCAGCTCATCCCCTGTTTGGGTATCAGCCAGCACGTCAACGACTTAAATCTAGAAATAGTTTTCTAAGATCTACGGAGACACTCGCTGGAAAACCTGAGCAAGCGAGAGTCCAAAAGTGGCAGGCTCAAACCCAGAACCTTAACCAATGGCTGATACCAAATGAGAGACTCCCCCCTGGGCACACAGAGGACTGGGCGACTTGGAAGGCGCTGAACAGACTGCGCTCTGGCACCACGAGATGCAGAGCCAATCTTAAGAAATGGGGCTACAAAGTGGAATCCACGACATGCGAGTGTGGAGAAGAGCAAACTACTGACCACCTGCTGCAATGCAACCTGAGCCCTGCCACATGCACGATGGAGGACCTTCTTGCGGCAACACCAGAGGCACTCCAAGTGGCCAGATACTGGTCAAAGGACATTTAATCAGCTACCAAGTTTGCAAAATTTGTGGGTTTTTTTTAAAAAATCTGTTGGTTTGTTTTGTTCTGTTAGAAATGTAATACAACATTCTGGTTGTGGATGACACGATAAATAAATAAATATAATAAATAAATAGAAATGTTTCTGAGAAAGGCAATGTATGTGATACATATGCAATGTGTTGTATTATGATCACTAAATTTAGGCTCGGGTCTGGCTAAACTGGTACATATAATCTATATACATATAATCTAACATTGAATGCTTGCCGTATTTATGTTGTGCTCCGCCCTGAGTCCCCTTTCGGGCAAGAAGGATGGGATATAAATGCTTTAAATAAATAAATACATTCTCAAATTTCAATTATCAATGGGCTACATCCCGGTTTTCAAAATAATGATGTAATTTTGTTTCTCTGTTCTATACATCCTATTACATACAACAGTCTATTCTGTTGTGTTCTGTTCTAATCTATGCTTCATTAATTAGCTATAAATATTTCATTTCCACTCTATTCCACTCCCTACATATTTTCCAAGTTGCTTTCCATTACTTGATTTAATCACAAGGGAAGCTAGATTTTGTTTTCCAGTTATCTAAAGTAGAGCATATGTAGCAGATGGCTTAATGCTAAAGACACTCTGTCGCAAAGCATCCTTAAGGAATAAGAAAAGGAACTGAAAAGCAATGGGGTAGAAAATAATTCAGTGATGAATCACCGTTAGGAAATAAACCATACAGGCAAGACATTTTGAGTCCAAGACAATATACACCTGAGTCGTATGCTACACATTTTTCTATATGTATAGAAGCAGAAGGCAAAGGTATACTGTACATAGAATACTAATACATTTACTTTGCATTCTGCACCCATGTACACTTATTCGTGATGGCGTCTGGAAATCTTTCCCCTTAACACATAAACACAACAGTTGTTCTCTACTGTTCCCTATTATGAAGTAACTTTATTTGACATTAAAACTTAAGGCACACAATTTAGGGGCATGAAATAAAGTTTGTGTACCTTGAACCATCAGAAAGCAAAAGTATCACTATTCCAGCCACCCATTTGGACAAATATGGATTTGGGGCTATTCCAGAATTCCAGACAAAAGAGGCCCAACCTGCTCTATTTTAAAGATTAGGGGGTACAGTTCATTTCCTATTGCAAAGGATTTTAGTAATCGAAGTCTTTTGGACTGCATTTCTGATAGTCGAGCAAGTCAGCCAGCAATTCCAACTGTTTTATCTATATAAATAAAAATGTAATGTTTAATGTATTGTCGAAGGCCTTCATGGCCGGAATCACTGGGTTATTGTAGATTTTTTCGGACTATATGGCCATGGTCTAGAGGCATTCTCTCCTAACGTTTCGCCTGCATCTATGGCAAGCATCCTCAGAGGTAGTCAGGTCTGTTGGAACTAGGAAAAAGGGTTTATATATCTGTGGAATGACCAGGGTGAGACAAAGGATGCTTGTCTGCTGGAGCTAGGTGTGAATGTTTCAACTGACCACCTTGATTAGCATATAATGGCCTGACAGGACAGGGCTGGCCATTCCTAAAGATAGGGAATGGGGTTAAACAATTCCCTCCACTTTCCCCTATTGCTCCCCACTCTACCTGAAGTCCTATGTTTTATTCTGATTCTAAGTGGTCTTATGGGCTTCCTTGGGGCTCAAGGACTGAGTACGATTTCAATACACAAAATATCTCCCCAGAACTCTGTAACTCAACACTTATTTCTATATTTTGAACAGTATACAATGACATTAAGAAACAGACTATACAATACAGAAGAGTTGGAGCAACACAAACATGGTCTAGACCAGGGGTCCTCAAACTAAGGCCGAGCAGCTGGATATGGCCCTCTGTGGTCATTTACCTGGTCCTCGCTCAGGGTCAACCTAAGTCTGAAACGACTTGAAAGTACACAACAACAATCCTATCTCATCAGCCAAAAGCAGGCCCACACTTCCCACTGAAATACTAATAAGTTTATATTTGTTAAAATTGCTCTTTATTTTAATTCTTGTATTGTTTTATAGTGTTTTTTGCTCTACAAATAAGATATGTGCAGTCTGCATAGGAATTCATTCAAGCTTTTTTTTTCAAATTATAATCCAACAGTTTGTGGGACTGTGATCTGGCCCTCTGTTTAAAAAGTTTGAGGACCCCTGGTCTTGACTCAAGATCTGTGTGCTTATGGTTGGTAGTCGCATAATAGAAACTATATGTTGAATCATAATGATAAATTAATTCTATCCATTGTAGTTCCTGTTCAAATTTCACTAGCCTTGAAGATTCTTGTACTGAAGAAACAACATGCAACTATATTAGGATACCATACACATCAACCAGAAAAAGTAATACATAACCTGAGGTTATTTTGTATTATGCAAAACTGTGCTGCCTGCAGCAAACACATCCCCGCTTTGAGGTGGTGATAATAGCCAAGGACAATGTTTACCACCTGGCCTGCTTTGCATGTCAACGTCTCTAATCAGAAATTTTGCGTGGGAGACAAACATTTCCAAAAGAACATAATTCTGTGCCAGACAGACACTGGAAGAGCTTAACGAAAGAGCCCCAAGCTTGTGATCTACTGCCTCACTATTAATAGAGAAAAGGTGTTTTTTAAAACCTTTTTTGTTCTTATTTTCTTCATTAATGCACAAGCAGTTCCCAAGTTATGAACTAGTTAGGTTCAGTAGGTTTGTTCTTAAGTTGAATTTGTATGTAATTTGGAAAAAAGATACTTTTAAAAGTGTAACTCCATGTATGTGTGTGTATATAAATGTGTGTGTGTATGTATGTATATATCTATATCTATCTATATATATATCATCTATTTATGTTTTATTGACTATTCTAAAGACTTTGACTGTGTGGATCATAATAAATGGTGACGGGTTCTTGGTGATATGGAGATACCAAGCTATTTTGTCTGTCTCCTGAGGAATCTGTATAATGAGCAAGTAACAACAGTAGGGTCTGACCATCGAACAACAGACTGGTTCAAGATTGGGAAAGGAGTATGGCAGGGCTGTATACTTCCCCCCTACATATTCAACTCATATGCAGAATACATCATGCAGTATGCGGGGCTTGATGAATCCAAGGTAAAATTGCTGGAAGAAACATTAACAACCTTAGAAATACGGATTTTAATTATCACATCAGAAGCAAACCAAGGGTACAGTTGTAATGTATTTTTAAAAACACAAAGTTTAAAAACTTGGTATTATATTAAATGTCTTTTGACCAGTAGAGATATATGCAGATGATACCACTTTGATGGCTAAAACCGAGAAGGAACCGAAGAGCCTTATTACCAAGATGAAAGAAAAGAGTGCAAAAGCTGGGTTACAGCTAAACATATAAAAAAAAACCCTGAGATTATGGCAACCAGACTGATTGATAACTGGCAAATAGAAAGAGAAAACATGATGGCAGTGACAAACTTTGTATTTCTTGGCGTGAAGATTACTGCAGAAGCAGACTACAGCCAGGAAATCAGAAGACATTTACTTCTTGGGAGGAGAGCAATAGCCAATGTTGATAAAATAGTGAAGAGTAGAGACATCACACTGGCAATGAAGGTCCGCATAGTTAAAGCAATGGTATTCCTCCTAGTAACCTATGGATACAAGAGCTGTACTATAAGGAAGGCTAAGCAAAGGAAGATGCAAGCTTTTGAACTGTGGTGCTGGAGGAAAATTCTGAGAGTGCCTTGGACCGCAAAAAGATCCAACCAGCCCATACTCCGGGAAATAATGCCCAATGCCCGACTGCTCACTGGAGAGAAAGGATATTAGAGGCAAAGATGAAGTATTTTGGCCACATAATGAGAAGACAGAAAAGCTTGGAGAGGACAATGATGCTGGGGAAAATGGAAGAGGGACCGACCAAGGGCAAGATGGATGGATGGCATCCTTGAAGTGACTGGCTTATGTTATTTTGTATTGTTTATTTTACTTGATTGGTTTATTTATTTTATTGTCATGTTATTTTGTTGTTTATACTGTATTTTATGTTGCTGTAATGTATCACTGGGCTTGCCCTCATGTAAGCCGCTCCGAGTCCCCTTTGGGAGATGGTGGCGGGGTATAAATAAAGATTATTATTATTATTATTATTATTATTATTATTATTATTATTATTATATTCTACACTGTAGTTTGACACTGAACTACCATGAACCCAGGATTTCATCACAACCAATAAAACCAGCATTTTTATACAATTAGGAAAAAGTTACCAATGGAGCCCATCCATCATCATCATCATCATTATACTAGCCGTCCCCTGCCACACGTTGCTGTGGCTCAGATGGGGGTTCCATGTGGGAGGTTTGGCCCAATTCTATTGTTGGTAGCATTCAGAATGTGATTGTAGGTGAACTATAAATCCCAGCAACTACCACTCCCAAATGTAAAGATTCTATTTTCCCCAAACTCCACCAGTGTTCACATTTGAGCACATTGAGTATTCGTGTAGAGTTTGGTCCAGATCCATCATTGTTTGAGTCCACAATGCTCTCTGGATGTAGGTGAACTATAACTCCAAACCCAAAGGACACTGCCAACCAAACCCCTCCAGTATTTTCTGTTGGTCATGGGAGAACTGTGTGCCAAGTTTGGTTCAATTCCATCGTTGGAGGGGTTCAGAATCCTCTTTGATTGTAGATGAACTATAAATCCCAGCAACTACAACTCCGAAATGACAAAATCAATTTTTTTTTTGAGTGAAGGACATACATTGGGTTGTTAGGTGTCTTGTGTCCAAATTTGGTGTCAATTTGTCCAGTGATTTTTGAGTTCTGTTAATCCCACAAACGAACATTACATTTTTATTTATATAGATCAATATTGCCCAAATGGATGTTAGCAGAATGTCAAAAAATAGAGAAGGCGTGGAAAGACAACCACTAATATGTATATAATGGAAACTGAATCAATTCACAATTTAATGTTTATTTTAAAATAATATTTTTATGGTGGTGCTGATTGCTGTTTGGTTTGTTTTTCAATGTCATCTGATTTGAAATGTTTATTTTAGACTACGGTATAGAATTTATTGTAATTTTAAAAGCATAATTGCATTACGAGTTTTTTCCTGTTAGAGTTTTTCATCTATTTCCTCTTTGGTGATCTTCTAGATTCCACACACACCATGTATCATAATCCAGTTGAAGGTTACGTTGTTGGATTAGATCATGTGCTTATTTTTGTGATCCATCAAACTGAATGCAATCTTCAACCATATACTGTTGCTTACTTGGAGTCGACCTGTTAATTGTCTGCTTTTTGAGATGGCAAAAACTAAAGGCTTCCTAGACACCTGGTGAGCTTCAGTAAATAGGTGATTTGCATGAGACTTGGTGGATCATGAATGGTACAGACCTGGATAAGACCACTAGGGGATTAAGATGCTCAGCTCTCAGACTACAGCTGAGTTGATATAGTTGATTCTTTTCTTAATCGAAACGGGCACACTCAGACAAAGCAACATGGTAAATCTTTGGAAACTCATAGTGGCAAAGCTCTGAACTGATAACATGAAAGTAATTGTGTAAATATGGCTTGTTTCATTCTCATACCACTGCTATCAACTTAGCTTTGACATCAGTAATTGAGTATTAGAGAGAGCCAAGAAACAAAGAAAGCAAAAATACAGACTCTCTTTTTAGGGCATGAACATTCACAGGTAAAGAAAGAGGTGGGAAAGGGAATGACTATGACTATCTTACCTTGCCCAGAGTTTTTCAAATTCTTTTGGGTTCAGAGGGATGCAGCATCTATACAGAACGTCTTTCAGCTCCTTTTTCAGAATGATGCCATTTCCTTCATTATCATAGTCATGGAAGTGCTGAAATATAAAATGTCTTTAATAGATCCACCCATGCAATCAAGACTTCCTTCCCATAGCCCTCACTATGTAGCTCTTATTTTCCATCTTCATCGCTATGATACTTCACCTTGTTGATAGGAAGCTTCCCACCGGAGTGGAAATAATCTATCGGACAGATGGCAAGCTATTTAACCTCAGCAGACTGAAAGCCAAAACCAAGGTTACAACAACATCTGTTATAGAACTCCAGTATGCTGATGACAACGTTGTCACCTTGAATTGGGACCAGAAAATGAACGGCAGCCAATGGAGCTCCTTAAACAGAAGGGTTGACCTCTCTCTGTAAGGAGGACCAGTTAACAACCTGGTCGCCGCCCGTTGGACCAGTTGGAATTTCCGGGCCATATTCAAGGGCAGCCCCACGTAGAGCGCATTACAGTAGTCCAATCTGGAGGTGACTAAGGCATGGACCACCCAGGCCAGATCCGTCTTCACGAGGTACGGTCGCAGTTGGCGCACGAGTCTCAATTGTGCAAAAGCCACCGCTGACACCTGAGCTTCAAGTGTAAGTGATGAGTCCAAGAGGACACCCAAACTGCGGACCTGTGACTTCAGGGGGAGTGTAACCCCATCCAGCACAGGTTGCCACCCTATACCCTGATCTGGTTTACGATCGACCAGAAGGACCTCTGTCTTGTCAGGATTAATCTTCAGCTTGTTCATCCTCACCCAGACAGCCACAGCAGTCCAGCACCCGAGAGGCTTTCTTGGAATTAGGTGGAAAGGAGTAGTAGAGTTGTGCGTCATCTGCATAGAGATGGCACCCAACTCCAAAACTCTGGATGACCTCTCCCAGCGGTTTCATGTAGATGTTAAAAAGCATGCGAGACAGAATAGAGCCTTGCGGGAACCCACAGGTCAAAGGCCAGGGGTCCGAGCAGGCGTCTCCCAGCTTCACCATCTGGGATCGACCCTCCAGAAAGGACCGGAGCGACGACAGAACCGTGCCCCTGAGACCCATCCCAGAGAGCCGTCCCAGAAAGATACTATGATCGATGGTATCGAAAGCTGCTGAGATGTCCAAGAGAACCAACAGGGTTACACTCCCCCTGTCCAGTTCCCTGCGGAAGTCATCCACCAAGGTGACCAAAGCCGTCTCGGTGCTATGGCCAGGCCTGAAGCCAGACTGAGACTGGTCCAGGTAACTGATGTCATCTAAAAAGCCCTGGAGCTGGGAGGCGATCACTCGCTCCAGTATCTTGCCCAGGAAAGGGAGGTTGGAGATTGGTCTGTAGTTGTTCAGCACCGTGGAGTCAAGGGAAGCCTTTTTCAGGCGTGGTCGGACCACAGCCTGTTTTAGTTGAGATGGAAAAACACCCTGCTCCAGTGATGCATTAATGATCAACACAAACCAATCAGTCAACCCATCCCTGGCTGATTTAATTAGCCAAGACGGGCAAGGGTCTAAAGTCGACGTGGTCGCCCTCACAGCACCAAGGACCTCCTCCACAGTCTCAGGAAGAACAAGCCTAAAAGAATCCCATAAAATTCAGATGCCTCAGTCACCTCCCCTGGCACTGTGATGAAATAGGAGTCCAACTCAAGGCGAAGATGTTGAAGAAGATGCTGAAGTGTACCCTCCACATTTCATCCAGCTGATAGAGGTTTCAAAATGGTGTCTTTGACAGCTCCAATCAGGTACAACATCTCTACTGCTTCAATAGCAGTGCTAACACCATGTTGCATTCTTGTCTACAGCAGGAGCCATTTCTACTACATTTTAATGCCTAAAAAGCTAGTTCAGTCGCTTCAAATCAGATACTGCAATACATTATTTTAAAACTTATTACATGTTTTGATCATTAATGAGCTATTTGTTTATTGTAAATAAAATCCTTGATTTTAAAAAAAATTATACCATCAAAGATAAACATTGTATAAAGCTCTCAAATCTTTTTTCGTATTTACTTAAAGACTACATGAAGCTTACCACAGCTAGGTCATTCCATCTGGTTTGCGCTTTGATACTAAGATAGTAATGAGCTTGTTCACAAGCTAAGTCTGCATCCGTCGTTATCTGTTTGGGTCTCAGAAAGAAAGAATTATTATAATAACTAACTGTGGTCTGATTTTAATGGGATCATTAATATCCCACAAGGTTTGTTTGTTTGTTTCCTTGCTTTTTAATGTATTTTTGTGCCGATAGCTTTAAAGACTCATCACAAACATCTGCATACAAATGAATTCCTTATAAATACTATCATCCTTCTCCAGCTGCAAGTTAGGAATGATGTCTTTAAAATTTCTGTTAATCCCCGTTATCATTTGCACATGCAGATTGGTCAAATTGCTTAATTGCAGCTGAAATATGAGGGGAAAATATTTATAAATCAAAGCAATAACATAAAAGGAAAAAAATCCCTGTGAGATCTGAGGCTGCATAGGCAATTTATTACTAATTTTCTCTAAAAAGTTGGACTAGTCTCTGATTTTATCTTTTTTACAGGAAACACAGGAGAGTTCAATCACGCACACAAGTTAAAGTCATTGGGAGCAATCCAGTAAACATTAAGCCCTCTTCAGGAAACTTTAATAACACGCAATATAAAATGTGCAGTATGTCACTATATTGTTGGGTTTTTTTAAACTTTAAGATAAGATTGCCGAGGTTCAAATCAGCATCCATCTTTCTCCACATGCTTAATTCTTCCTCTGCTGATTTTTGTTTTTGGTTAAACTCACCTGCCTCTATGGACAAGGACCAGACATGTAGCCGGGGAGGAGGGGGGCTTGAGGGGCTTCAGACCCCCCCCCCCCCAAATTCTCAGGGTGGTCCACAAGAAGGCCTTACTGGTGCATTATTTAAACTGTTATGTTTATTCATATCATGATCTGATCACCATGCTCAATATATCTCATATGCATGGGAGTATTGGGGTAACGATACAAAAGGTTTGCTAGGGTAGACCCTCTTTCACTCAGACGCACCCCCCCCCCCCCACCGAATCAAACTCGGCTCCCCCCGAATCAAAATCCTGGCTACGGGCCTGGCAAAGACTCAAAATAAGGGATTTCAATTGGTAACAATTTCTTATTTTTTCAATGTCGAAGGCTTTCATGGCCGGAATCACTGGGTTGTTGTGGGGTTTTTTGGGCTATATGGCCATGTTCTAGAGCCGTGATGGTGAACCTATGACACGTGTGATGACACACAGACACATGCGGCCATATACAGAGAAATACACCTTATAAGAGCCAATCTAATTCCATCCTTAAATTTGTAAAAGGCTATACAAATTTAACATCTGCATGTTTGAGCATTGTTCACTCCATAACTCAGCATGGATTATTCATTTTTCTTATTTAAACTATAAATATTGCAAAATTATGGGGTTTTTTCTCGAAGTGACACTCTACCTAAGTTATGCTCAGGTTTTTGGCAAACTTTGACACACCAAGCTCAAAAGATTGCCCATCACTGTTCTAGAGGCATTCTCTCCTGACGTTTCGCCTGCATCTATGGCAAGCATCCTCAGAGGTAGTGAGGTCTGTTGGAACTAGGAAAAAGGGGTTTATATATCTGTGTAATGACCAGGGTGGGACAAAGGACTCTTGTCTGCTGGAGCTAGGTGTGAATGTTTCCACTGACCACCTTGATTAGCATATAATGGCCTGACAGTGCCTGGGCAAACTTTTGTTGAGAGGTGATTAGATGTCCTTGTTTGTTTACTCTCTGTTGTTGTGCTGTTGTAATTTTAGAGTTTTTTTTAATACTGGTAGCCAGATTTTGTTCATTTTCATGGTTTTCCTCCTTTCTGTTGAAATTGTCCACATGCTTGTGTATTTCAATGGCTTCTCTGTGTAGTCTGACATGGTGGTTGTGAGAGTGGTCCAGCATTTCTGTGTTCTCAAATAATATGCTGTGTCCAGGTTGGTTCATCAGGTGCTCTGCTATGGCTGACTTCTCTGGTTGAAGTAGTCTGCAGTGCCTTTCATGTTCCTTGATTCGTGTTTGTGCACTGCATTTGGTGGTCCCTATGTAGACTTGTCCACAGCTGCATGGTATACAGTAGACTCTTATTTTTTCCTTTTTTTAGCTCCAAAGATGGGGAAACAGTGAAGAGAGTGATGTGAGTCCCAATCCCAACTACTGTTGTTCCATTCTTCAAATCAAAAGATTGGAGATATGTGGTTCATAACTTAACATGCACATTTTTGAAAGGAAATTTGCAGGACTTTGAAGGTGACAATTTACCATTTGAACACATAACCACACAAAACAGCTGGATTTAGATGTACCAATTTGTATGGAAAATGTGGAATAATTATATCCTAATATCTCTTGGTGTGTCTTATGGAGCCTTGCCACCGCATGAGATGGGGTGATTTTAGTTAAAGTCATTGGGAGCAATCCAGTAAACATTAAGCCCTCTTCAGGAAACTTTAATAACACACAATATAAAATCTGCAGTATGTCACTAAATTGTTGGGGTTTTTTTAACTTTAAGGTAAGCTTGCAGAGGTTCAAATCAGCATCCATATTTCTCCACATGCTTAATTCTTCCTTTGCTGATTTTTAGCACCGGGATTGTGGCGCAGCTGGCTAAGTGTCAGCTGCATTAAGATCACTCTGACTAAAAGGTCATGAGTTCGAAGCCAGCCCGGGTTGGAGTGGGTTTCCAACCAATTATGTGCAGCCTGTTGTCGACCTTTGCAACCCGAAAGAAGGTGCATCTGTCAAGAAGGAAAATTAGGTACCACCATAAAAAGTGTAGGGAGGTTAAATTAACTGATTTATAAGGCCATAAAGAAGACTCCAGCAAAGCATTCCAGCAGGGAAGCATGCGGGGAATGTGGAAGTGCTTCATCAGCGTCGCAGATGGACGATGAAAGCGACAGCTCCCCTGGCGGCCAGAAAAAGTTAAATAGCCTCTGTGTATATCTGTATATGTTTGTATGTCAAAAATTGGCATTGAATGTTTGCCATATATGTGTACACTGTAATCCGCCCTGAGTCCTCTGCGGGATATAAAAGCTGTAAATAAATAAATAATAAATAGTGTTCTTAGGATGCTTTCACCCTCTCTGGGGGACGGAGACGGATGTCGGACATCACATAATGTCATGTGACTTCTGACATAGGCTACACCCCCAACTGGAGTGAACACATTGTTTCCACCCCAACACAGGAGACTTCTCATGTTGTGCTGGCTCCCCGCAAAGGTGATGCTTTACTGTCTGCATGGCTACTAGCTGAACCTTCCATAATGCCTCGGGCTAACTTAAGTTCATCCTGGGTCACCTGTGCAACTTCCCAAAAGTTGTTTACAACTGCAAGAAGCCCATCCTGGCTGCTGGATTCAGCAGGTGAACATAGCATTGAATGAAACATGCAGAATAATCACAGGATGTCTTAAACCTACACCTGTTGATAAACTCTACAAGCTAGCTGGCATCCCCCCACCCGGGAAGTTGCTGCTAAATGTGAGAGAAATAAGGTTGAACACTGTGAAAGCCTCCCACTACATGGCTACCAGCCTCCTCCCAGTAGACTCAAATCAAGAAAAAGCTTTATGAGAACTACCACTCCTCTTGGTGTCCCCCCAGCAACAGCAAGGGTATTCCTCTGGTCAGCTAAACCAGGAAACCCCAACTGGATGGCCTCCCATTAAGGGTCTTCCTCCAGGGGCAAACCAAGAATGGGCAACTTGGAAGTCCCTCAACACATTCAGAAGTGGAGTGGGCAGATCAAAAGGCAAACTGATAAAATGGCACTACGTAAAGGAATCCCACACCTTATGTGACTGTGGAGCAGAACAGACAACTCCGCATCTGTATGCTTGTCCGCTATGCCCTGCCTCATGTACAGAAGAAGAATTGTTGAAGGCTGTTGCCCATTTTTGGTCAAAAGATATTTAGCCACCTGCACTCCTTCTATTTTTATCAATTTTATACTAATTTATGCAATGCTTTTGATACGAAATAAATAATAATGGGGAAAGTGTCACTGAGAGGGAGCTGCATGCAGGGCAATAAGTTCACTCTGCTGGTCCCTCTTTCCTCCCCAGAAGTCCAGGGAAGTGAAGCCCAGGATTCGATTAATTGTTCTGCCATGGAAATCCACTGAGTGATCTTGGCCACATTACACACTCTTGACCCCGCTAATTCCCATGAATGGTTTGCCTTAATATCAATGTAACTTCCCATTGCACTTCGGGGGGAGGGGGGGGGCAATGCCAGCTAGCTTGTAGAGTTTATCAACAGGTGTAGGTTTAAGACATCCTGTGATTATTCTGCAACTTGAAGACATACAAGAAGTTTTTATTCCCCTTAGTTTTTGTTCTACAAGTATGGTGGGGAATTGGCATAAACAATCACAATTCATATACTTCCCACAGGAGGTTCCTGTCAGTGAAAATAGCCTTGCCTTCTAAGGTGTCTACTGAATAGACTTCTCAGACAAAAAAACGGGACTTGACATATTGTCTTGAATAGCTGAAGAGAATAAAAATATGGGCTAGATGAAGCTTCACCTGCTGCAGCAAGCACGTACCTCTCTTACTGAGCCTCACGTCTCCGCCTCATTTGTCATTTCAAAGGAGTGTTAACCATTCAATACAATAAGAGATGCGAATCCTTCATCACTACAGCTGCACCAAGGATGTAACATAAAAATACATAACTCTTCACACACCATTTTATTTTGCACAAGGTGCACGTGTGTCAGCATGAAGCGACAAAAGTAACACCGTGATTTGGAGAGCCAGCAAAATCAAAGTGGTCATGGGAGAGAAATATGTTTCAACACACTAACTGTCTGTTTATATTTAACATAAAAGATGGGCAAGGAAGACCAGAATAAGGCCCAAATAAACTATTTTTAAATTGAGCTGATTTAAATGAAACTATTTTTTAATTTAAGATGGATTGTGGGATTTTTTCTATTTATAACGTAGGTAAGGCTGCACAGTTATTGGCCAATGAGAAAGTCCTGGCATGGGGTAAGAAGAAGGTCTTTGATATTCCCCTTTTGTTGAATCTTTCCATCACACAGATATAAATTTCTGCACTTGAATGTGGACATAAT